GAGATAAAAGAGTGTAAGGAACACTTTAATTCTTTTGGTTTTACAAGGGATATTATCTCTCTTTTTTTCTGGTTTGTTTGTTTGTTAGTTATTGAAGTTGCTCTGCAATAGTAAATTTTAGGAGCCACTGTTGCTGTCTCTAGAAAGGCTAATTATGGTACATTGATTGTGGCCGAATTTGAGTGTACTAATATGCTCATGTATGTAGTTGGCATAAATTTAGCAAACTGACTTTTTTTTTTTGTTGTTGTTGTTATTGCTACATCGATCTTTGTTCAACAGAGGTGCCGAATTCTGGCAATGTTCCCAGCTATCGGCCCCCACCACGAACCAAGGAAATAACTGTCAGGGGCGTAACTGTAAAGCTTAAGTACTGTTTTACCTGCAAAATATTCAGACCACCTCGAGCATCACACTGTTCAATCTGCGATAATTGTGTTGGTAAGAGAAGAGCTGACTACTCCATTTCGTTTTTTTTTTTTTTTCCGTTTTATTTCATTTTTATTTTGTTTTATTCTATTTTCATTCTGCATGTCATGGAAGAATTGATAATGAGATAAAAGAGTGTAAGGAACACTTTAATTCTTTTGGTTTTACAAGGGATATTATCTCTCTTTTTTTCTGGTTTGTTTGTTTGTTTGTTTGTTTGTTTGTTAGTTATTGAAGTTGCTCTGCAATAGTAAATTTTAGGAGCCACTGTTGTTGTCTCTAGAAAGGCTAATTATGGTACATTGATTGTGGCCAAATTTGAGTGTACTAATATGCTCATGTATGTAGTTGGCATAAATTTAGCAAACTGACTTTTTTTTTTTGTTGTTGTTATTGCTACATCGATCTTTGTTCAACAGAGGTGCCGAATTCTGGCAATGTTCCCAGCTATCGGCCCCCACCACGAACCAAGGAAATAACTGTCAGGGGCGTAACTGTAAAGCTTAAGTACTGTTTTACCTGCAAAATATTCAGACCACCTCGAGCATCACACTGTTCAATCTGCGATAATTGTGTTGGTAAGAGAAGAGCTGACTACTCCATTTCGTTTTTTTTTTTTTTTCCGTTTTATTTCATTTTTATTTTGTTTTATTCTATTTTCATTCTGCATGTCATGGAAGAATTGATAATGAGATAAAAGAGTGTAAGGAACACTTTAATTCTTTTGGTTTTACAAGGGATATTATCTCTCTTTTTTTCTGGTTTGTTTGTTTGTTTGTTAGTTATTGAAGTTGCTCTGCAATAGTAAATTTTAGGAGCCACTGTTGCTGTCTCTAGAAAGGCTAATTATGGTACATTGATTGTGGCCGAATTTGAGTGTACTAATATGCTCATGTATGTAGTTGGCATAAATTTAGCAAACTGACTTTTTTTTGTTGTTGTTGTTATTGCTACATCGATCTTTGTTCAACAGAGGTGCCGAATTCTGGCAATGTTCCCAGCTATCGGCCCCCACCACGAACCAAGGAAATAACTGTCAGGGGCGTAACTGTAAAGCTTAAGTACTGTTTTACCTGCAAAATATTCAGACCACCTCGAGCATCACACTGTTCAATCTGCGATAATTGTGTTGGTAAGAGAAGAGCTGACTACTCCATTTCGTTTTTTTTTTTTTTTCTTTTCTTTTTTTTTATATTAGATCCTGTTTGATATAATAAACTTTGATTTACTACACAAAAAAAAAAAAAAAAAAAAAAAAAAAAAAAAATTAGAATCTGCCATCCAGTGAAAACACCAAAGTATCTATGCGACCAAAAAGGTTTTTAAAAAATAAAGGGAAGATAAAGAAATCAAGTCTCTGCCTTACCAAATTTACCTGTGACTGAAATATTTTGCAGAGCGGTTTGACCACCACTGCCCATGGGTCGGTAACTGCGTAGGCAAAAGAAATTACCGGTATTTCTACCTCTTCATTATATCTCTGGCTTTTCTCTGTGTGTTCATATTCTCCTGCGTCATTGCACATCTTGTCATATGTAAGTACCGACAGGACACATTTTACTTTGTAGCTCTGTATGCATATTTAAACCAAGGAGTAGAGTAGGCTCCATGTCGTAATTTGATAGTAACTAACTGTATGCCAGTACTGTTTTCCGTAGAATTTGCTCATTTTCATATGTGCCCCATTATTTTGTATTAGATATTCTTTTGAAGTTTACATTTTTGAATGAATTTTTATTCTGTGCATTTTCTCTAACCCGTACCACCGTGTAATTGTTAATTTTCCTTCAATACTTTCTCTCGTACTGCTAGACATGAACAGTGAGGAAAAGACTTTCATGGTGGCCATTCAGAAGAACCCAGCATCTGTGATAGAAGGTGTCATCTGCTTCTTCTCGGTGTGGTCCATCCTAGGGCTGGCGGGCTTCCACACCTACCTCACCACATCCAACCAAACTACCAATGAGGATGTTAGTATATGTGAATATGTATAGTAGTTACCCAGAGCAAGGGGTTATGCATCTAGCAGTTTGATATTGGATATACAAACCTAATGTACAGATACATTGGGGAATGGTTACCCTTTATTTATGTCTCCTGTTTTATGACCGACTTTAATCTGAACTTTACAAGGGACTGAAATTTTTGTGTGTATTTATATAGCTTGTTAACTTATGATAGAGAAATGTATTAAGTGTCGGAACATCATAAAATGATGCATTTCTTTTGGCAGATCAAAGGTTCATTTACTGCTCGTCGTGGCCAAGCTAACTTCAATCCCTATGGATATGGGAACTTCTGCCTCAACTGCCTGGCTGTTCTTTGTGGACCAGTTCAGCCAAGTCTCATTGGTAAACAAGAACAGCTATTGTATTTGTTTTAGAAAGTAATGGTTCTGTTAACCTGTCACATGTGAAATATAATAGACTGCCATCATTTTATCATTTTTAAGCTTACTATGTCAGTGTGCTCTCTGGAAACTAGAGAGGGTTCTTGAAGTGCTTTAGGTAATTTGTCACAGGCAATAGTACTATAAAGAGAACAAAAAGAAAAAGGGAAAAAAAACAAAACAATATGGATATACTTGCTAAATGTTAACTCTTGCATTCAGATCGCAGGGGTGTAGTAACCCTAGAATACCTTACCACCACCCAAGGAAAGGTCTCAGAAAATCAAGCACCTTCAAGAAGTTATGGCACAGTACACACAGTTCAACCCTCGGTAAGTATTCATAGTAGATAATACACAGTATGAGCATGAATAAAGCCACTATATCAGTTTTATTTATTTTTTATTTATTTATTTATTTATTTTTTAATTTATTATTATTATTTTTTTTTTTATAAAAGTTTCGAGATTTAGGTTGTTGTGCAAGACACCTTACAAGATGGGGATACAAGTATGTTGTAGGAAGTTTTGATTCATCATTTATACTTTAATATGAAGCCAAATGCAGTGAGGCTGCTAGAGAGTTACTTAGATCTAACCTGACCTTATAACATGACTATTGTGAAGAAAGCACTGATCTTGCTGTAAGTGTAATTCCAGCGTAACTTAGTCAAACTCAACATCATATTCGTTTTCAATAAATTCAAAATTTTATTCTGACCAGTTATTTATTACTCAAGAACATCAAAGTCCAGATAGATTGATATTTTGAGATTCCTAGAACATTGTAAAAATTAATAGCATTAGGATTTTTTTCTCTCTCAGCATTATGGCCAATTTTCAGCAAAGTGGTTGATGTAGCTTTTGATACCTTAAAGAGTAACTAGTTTTTGATACAGAAATTTTTGGGTTGGTCATGTTATGGGAACCTAATGATTTTTTGTTTATTTATTATTTTTTTTCTTTAGCCAATTTGACAAATTATATTATAACAGAGCATAGGTAGTAGATCAGCTACCAGCTTAGTTTTTGAGTTTTTAGGTCCGTTTAACAAATCCAAATCAAAGCTGGATGCTATAACCAAATGTCAGTGGGAAGCTTGAATTATTGCTTGGACTGAACCTATATGCAGCCATTTGTGAGGAAGTACCCTGCTAGTTCATTATATCAGTTGTTTACTATGTAATGGCCTTTCCACAGTTTTTATTCAGAGGTGTTTAACCCAATGGTGCCGGGTGTACAAAAGGAAAAAAAAACTCTACGCTCTAGCAAACAAAGGCGGCGCGCCGACTTTGAGCGCGCGAGTACGGGACGTCAACCCGAATCACCGGCTCGCCGCGCTTTGGCGCGCCACCGGCTCGTTTGGCTGCACGCCAGCTTTTGAGCTCTTTGTTTACACGCCTATCGGCGTGACCCGGCACCAAGGAGTTAAAGAAATAAGTTTTCAAATAACTTTGGAAGGCTATGGGTCTCTATGGTCAAATAAACCTTGATGACAGTCATCTAGACCAATCCGTGACAGCTGTGATATGGACCAAGACTTTACTGTCAGGATAGGATTGCCAGCCGACAGGAACAAGTTAACAGTCAAGTCCACACCCATCTGTTGTTCCCTGTTATATCGTTTAGTACAGGAGATAAGAACTGTTGCATAAGTATAAATGTAAATAATTTTCATTTAGTATAATGTATACTTATAGTAGAAAAAACAGTCATTAGTAGTAGTTACAGATTAAAAGTTTAGTAGTCACATAAGAAATTAAATGGTAGATTGGGAATTTCCTCATTCCAATCCAAGTTGTATCCATATCAAATTTGTCAGTGTGACAACAATGTAATGTAATTATTATATTTAACCCCTTGTTTGCGAGTGGCATCTACTGTGATGCCATGGCAGTGAAGTGGCAATACCACCCATGGCATCCCTACTGATGCGGCCCATACAGATATATCCATTTGGCAGACCGCACAACCACTGAAAAAGCGTGCACACATTGGGCTAATGTAAAAAGTTTTTTCTCCCTATTAGAATGGCATAGTGCCACAGCGAGGAGGATCAGAGGCCCCGGCTGGAAGTCCAGGTGGTGCTGGAGGGGGGACAGGTGCTGTCACCACAGGAGCCCCGAATGGCAACGTGGCTCCAACACTGAAGAAGAAGTCGGCATCATCCCAGTCTATAAATGGTGGGTACTTCGTTCAGCCTCTTCAGACTACCATCACACTAGCAACTCTGAAATACAGTCTGCAGGTGCACCCCTACCTGGGTAAAGCTGTGTGATAAAATTTTCGACCCGTTAGGGAATCCCTACTGCGGAGTAGATGGCAAAGGCTTCCGTGATACGTTTACTGTCCACCCTCGCAGTAAGGTGGATTGCAGTTAAGGGGTTGGGCAAGTGATTTTCAGAGTTAGTTTCAGAGTTATGAACGAGGCATTGGTATGTTATGCTACTTCCAAAACCCGTAATTAGTAATAGAACCTTTCTATAACAGATGTCAAGTCCCAGCTGGGAAAATTGAAGGATTTATGTGTTATTGTTGTATTAGTGTCTTTTTGTTGATAAAGGATACACAGGCATGGCTATGCCTTTTTTCTGTATACGGTGAATGTTATTTTGAAAAGTTGATATAGTCTACTGTAGGAGCTTGGAGAAATATTGGTGGAAAAGCAGGCAATGATAAAGGAAAGAATAACTGCTAAAACAATGCCCACTGACAGTTTAGTTCACTAACTGTCTTTATACCTAGATTTCTTTACAAGTTCCTAGTCAGTAAGTGTCAATTACTAGTACTAGCTATCTTACCTGCTTACCCTTTTCCATGATTTTTGGAAATATTCTCTTTTACTTTACAAGTTCCTAGTCAGTAAGTGTCAATTACTAGTACTAGCTATCTTACCTGCTTACCCTTTTCCATGATTTTTGGAAATATTCTCTTTTATCATATATTGCAGTTAGTAATGTGAATAACATTATAATATATAATGATAATAACAGTACCAATACTGATAGCATTGGTTAAAAAAAAAGTATTCCCTAAAATCAAGGTAAGATTAAGTTAGGCAAGATCAGGAGGTCTACTAATTGGCCCGAGGGTGGCTGAGTACTTGTGCAGCCATCTGTTCGTATAGACATTTCATGAAAGAAAACTACAGTGAAAACTATATTTATCCAGCAGTTTTGTGTTAAAGAAAATATAAGATCAAAGTAAGAGAGAGACGTACTTCCCATTTGTACTTCGATTTGCACATTAATATGTATAGATGAATAACAATATCAACACTAAGGGTTACGTATAGTGTGTGAATGTATGTTTGGAAGTGCTTAACAGGAGTGAAGTCAGCATAAAAGAAGCAGCCAGGAGAAGGAGCCCTGGCTATGGAATAAATAATTAACTTTAGTTAGGAATTCAGTGGATTCCAGTAAGTTGAGGACTCCTGGCATATACAGACTGGGCTTCCTCCCTTTTAGTCCATTAGAACAAGGTTAGAATTCACACACAGAGATATTCATATACATATACATCGACACATACAAATCAATATGTATACACATCCATAGACATACGCATATACATATACATAATATGTATATAAAACATATATCATATACTGTCATCTGTATATATGTGGCAGAATGTAATGCTTGCATATGGTGTCACTTGTCTCATAGATGTAAAGGTCTGTGAAGTTATTACTTTACATATGAACCAAAACATCCACTCTATCTTCTTCACATCTTATAGTGTGTATATATATTCTAGTCAGACATCAAATATACTGAATCAAATCTTGATTGACTGTCCAATGTTTTTCATAGGATTAAAGAATTATTATGGCATATACTTTCATAGATTTTTTTGGTACTGTCTGCAAGCATTTATTGCCGCTTCTGTACATGTATATATACCTTGTACATATGTACATATACATGTGTAATGCATCTGCTCCTTGCCGTAGTTTCAGAAATTTAAGGTGCATTGTGTTTTATTTTGAAATTTATTCTCAAAAAGTATTATTTCATACTTCCCATATCCATGAATTGACCATCGCAAGAAAAGTAGAATTATGTGATTATATCTATTTAATCTTCTAATATGGTTTCTCAAAAAGATTCTCGAGGATTCACAATGGGGCCAGGAGTTAATGGTCTAGGGGAAAACAGAATCAAGAAGTTTTCATTAGAAGTCTGTATCTTAGGGTTTCATTCTCCTCATAATCTTGTTTGAATGTCATCAGACCTCTTGATGGGGTATTGTGACAAGGTGTGGTCCAGCTTTTCCTTATTTCTTTCTTAGGGGGACTGTTCTTTGCAAGGGAGGCAGGTTTGTGTCAAGCAAATTAAAATTGACTTAAGACTGGCTTTGATTACTTGAACATCTAAGGAATTACTTGCATAAATGTAAGGATTCAAAAAATAAAATTAAGTACTGGTACTGTTAGTAACCAACTATCAGATAAAAAAATCCCATAAAAATGATCATGCTAGACATTTCATATTTTTGTGGTTTGTGTATATTCATATATAGCATTCATTGAGATCAAGATTATAGAAGTACCCAAATACCCCCTTCCCCCCCCCCCCCAAAAAAAAAAAAGGAGGAAAAAAAAAGAAGAAAGTTGTATATATTCCATGTCCATGCTTCAACTTTGACCTCCATGACCTCTGCAAAATTGAGATGATTATGCAGAACATAAGTGCAAACACAGTAAACAAACACTGCCACATATTAAAGAAATAAAGATGTGTTGTTTCAGACTTATTAAGAGCTTCTCTTCACATGAAGTAGAAACCAGAATGGATCCATTTTGTTCTCTAGAACACGGATGAGGAACTCTCAACGAGTTTGAAAGGCCACATCTTTATTATTATGTTTCTTTTGATGATTATTTGGAAGTCATGAGGTCATCTGCTTCCTGTTTCCTTCTACTATGCAGAGGAATGGGCTTTGTGGAGTTCTGTTTGAGGGGAAAATGAGATGAACATCAAACATGCATTTTCCCCGCTGTGGTTTTGGCTAAAACTCACATAAGATTTTCCAAGAAATTAGCCTAAAGTGCAACTTTAATCCATCTCTTAAGGGGCTGTAACTCCATGATGCATAGGGGGGAAAAAAGCCTGAAAGGAGGATATAAAAAATGTGCAACTTCAATATGCACAATATGAAAATACTTAGAGACTATGCAAGATGTAATATTTTTCATGGGATAAAAAAACAACTAATTTACCCCTCCCACTGCAATGGATGGTTCCCTTAATATTCAGTGTTAGAAACCAGTGATCTCTCTCTTGAGCAAAAGTAGCAAAAGGCTGCTCTGCTGGATTATTGACAGGAGTGGTGTATGACAAAAATTATAAGCACAGGCCCAATGTTTTTCTTTCTTTTTCTTTTTGCTCGTTTTCTTTTTCTTTTCTTTTTTTCTTTCCCTCTTGTCTTTTTGATTCTGAACAAGCAGATTAATGTTTTTAAATAATACCACTGAAAAACAAGAGTGTATAGCAGAGAGCAGTGAGCAGTCTCTTTTGTCATGGCAAGTGCAAATTGCCATCCAGACTTTGGGCCTATCCTCACCATACCATAGGGAGATGTCATGCACCAGCAGTAGGTTACTTGATGTGTTCAAAAGGTGTAAATTGCTGAAGATTGTTTTAGATACACTAACAATAGATTAGTTTAAGAAATATGCCACAGGAAAAGGGATTTAGCTTTTTTGTTATCCTTGAACATGTTACAAGAGCTAGAACATGTATTTAGGTATCAGAGTAATGGAAATTCCATTTATAGTACTCCTTTAAAGATTATTTATAATGATTCAAATATTTTCCTTGCGATACAGTAATGTTCAGTTTTGAGCTTATTAGTGATAAAAGTTTACATAATATTTTCTTACTTTATTTTAAAGATTCTTCCATTCCATTTGCAACTTATATTACAGAAATCCTTAATTTGGAAAACAGTTTATGTAGTGCTAACATTTCTAATATATATCCATTCATTCTGAAGAGTTGTGTATTTTGAGTATTTTCCAGAAGAGAGATACTCCATGTGTGCCTGTAGTTGGATGGGATGGTGTATCTGGATGTGTCTCAGATTGTTATTATATAATATCTTAAATTGCTTGCCAATGCTACTGGTATGTGTCTATGGGTGCTCATGTTAAACAATCATTATGCTTCCCTTATGCATTAATGATACAGGAAATATAGTAATTCCCCTTTCCCTTCTACCTTGTAAGACCACTTTTTTTACATTGTTTCCTGTACCTTTATAAGTCTGTTGATATGAATATCAGTAATTGGCTTACTACATATTCAATTCAGAATTTGAGAAACACAGCAAGTGATTTTATTCTTTGATGACTGCAAGGGTAACCAATCCAAGACCATCTTGACCAAAACCTTGCAGCTATTAGGTTGATAATCAATAGTTCATGTTGGTATTGACTCTTAAGCTGTGGCAGTGGAGAATATGTATGAGAAATTTCCATAAGAAAGCGAGATTGCCTTATATTTCAGATATAACTTTTATAGTATTCACACATCTGTCAATAACGCTTAAACTTAGATAAGTAGTATATATTCAGCTGTACATATTTGTACGTGGATTTGGGTGTTGTTAGTAGTGAACACCAAAATAAATTACAAAGAATACCAAGCTTTTTCAAGGATTAAAAGAAGACATTATAATCATCTGTGAAATTTAGACCCTAGTTTTGTTGTGTGTTTTGCAACATGAAATTTCTGCTTGTGAAAGAAGGGAAAATGCCAGAACATTTTGTGGTTTGTGATAGACTTAGGAGTCCAGTAGATCAGTTCCTGTTACCATATTCTGTTAAAAAGGGAGGAGGGCAGTGATAGTGTTGTTCAATATTGATCATGTAGCTGGATAACAGGACATTGTAGTTCCCTGAATAAATTTGAATGTGTTTCCTCCTGCCTGCAAACTCTAAAATGCTCATTCTATTGGTAGACACACCTCTGTACAGTATTGGAGATAATGCTCTTGACAGTTGAAAGAAAGACAAGAATGAGTCTCAGACATTTCTAGGTATAGGAGTAAATAATGTTATTTTTGGCCCACATTCCCATAGTATATTCACATTTAAGATCTGTATTTTGCAAGCATCAGGTATAGTTTTAATTATTATTTTCCTATTAGATCTAAAACTATGGAGGCTCACAGATGA